AATTCTGTAAATAATGATATGGGTGTGTTTATGGGAAGAAAGAATTTTGGGGCTCTGGTTTGTCTTTAGAACCCTGCAAGGAGTCCACAAGGGGCATTGCTGGCCAGTTCCTGAGTGGTAACAATTTATGTCTGGAGCAAGTGGGCAAAGCATATTTCCTCCATATTGCAGAATAAAGCCCTGCTTCCTGAACAAACAAACAAACAAACAAGCCCCAACTAGGAATGGAACCACCATAGGACCCAGCTATCTCACTCCTCAGTATATATCCAAAAGATTTAAAATTGGCATGTTACAGGGATGCAGCCACATCAATGTTCACTTTTTTCCTTTTATAATACTTTTTCAGAATTTATTAGGTGTTCTTTTTATTTAATTGATTTTATTATTTTTTAAAATACGCAACACACATCAATGTTCCTAGCAGCACAACTCACAATAGCCAAGATATAGAACCAATCGAGGTGCCCTTCAACAGATGAATGGATAGAGAGAAAGTGGTATAACACACAATAGAGTATCATTCGGCCATGAAGAATATGAAATTATGGCATTTGCCAATAAGTGGATGGGACTGGAGACCACTGTGTTAAGTGAAATGAGCCAGACCCAGAAAGTCAGAGGCCATTTTTTTTTTCTGATTATGTGAAAGCAAGTCCAAAACGAGGGGAAGAAAAAGGAAAAGAAAAATGGGGGCAGGGGGAATCCATCAAAATAGAAGAAAGATCAGGGGAACAGAGGAGGGCATTGAGAGGGAGGGAGGAGGGATGGGATAAGGGAAACACAGTGGGGTGAATCCGACCTAACTTTCCCAGGTACATATATGAATATACCATAGTGAATCTCACCACTGTGTATAGCCACAAAATCCTAATTTTTTTAAAGTTGTAAGTTAATAGCAGAAGATCAGTAGAGAGAAGGGAACAGCAGAAGGAGGAGTGGAAAGACAGGGCAAGCACTGCAGACTGAATCAGAGAAAATTCTATTCCATGCTTTAGTAATTATGTCCAAATGAATATTAACA